TCCTTCCTTCCTTCCTCCCTCCCTCCCTCCCTCCCTCCCTCCCTCCCTTCCTTCCTTCCTTCCTTCCTCCCTTCCTTCCTTCCCCCTTCCATTTATCTTTCTCCTTCTTCCTTCCTTCTTCCATTTACCCTTCTTCCTTCCTTCCTTCCTTCCTTCCTTCCTTCCTTCCTTCCTTCCTTCCTTCCTCCCTCCCTCCCTCCCTCCCTCCCTCCCTCCCATCTTATCCTCCCTCCCTTCCTCCCTCCCATCTTATCCTCCCTCCCTTCCATCCATCCAATTTCCCTCCTCTGTCTCTCTGTTTCTCCCTCCCTCCCTCCCCAAAGCAACCCCGATTCTTCCTCTATTCCCTTCATTATTTAGGCTTGCCAGATAGGATTGAAAGGCACTGTAAAGGTACTACTAAGAGCCGAGGTGGTGAGGTGGTTAGGATGCAGTACTGCAGGCTACTTCTGCTGACTGCCGGCTGCCTGCAATTTGGCAGTTCGAATCTCACCAGGCTCAAGGTCGACTCCGCCTTCCATCCTTCTGAGGTGGGTAAAATGAGGACCCAGATTGTTTGGGAGTGATATGCTGACTCTGTAAACTGGTTAGAGAGGGCTGTAAAGCACCGTGAAGCGGTATACAAGTCTAAGTGCTATTGCTATCACTACTACTATGTCCGTATTTATGTTTCAGAAATCTGAAATACCGGATGTCTCCCTGCGTCGCCTTTTCCTCGTGTTCCCTCCTGCACGGAGTCAACAGAGAAATCAGCACCCTAAGAGCGTGCCAATGGGGCTGGGTCAGTTGCATCTTGGTTCTTCTCGCCACAAAAAAACCCCTCTGAAACTTGGTTTGCCTCTCAAGGACAGAGAACAAAACTTGCAAACCATCGGGTCTCTCATCCGTTGGGGGCGGGGGACAGTCAAGAAAGGCACGCCCCTCCCCCCACTAGATTTCCTGCATGAGAAACTGGTCGTAAAGTAGAGCATCCGGTTTTCCTCATAAAAATTTGGCCACAAAGGCTGTGCAGTGGTGTGGGTAGTGTTCTAAAAAAAAAAAAAAAAAGTGCTTTGCTGCAAATGGGGCTTGGAAGAAGCCCCCCTGCAACTCTTTAAAGCAACCGCATCTTTTCATAGACAGCAGATGTTCCATCCAAGGAAAAGAAGCAGATGCTTTAAAGAGATGCCGACAAGAGACTTAACGCTCTAAATCTGATGCCAAGTTTGGACACTGGAAACAGGACATGGGTTCCTCTTCGTGGCCGAGACACACTGTTTTGCAAGAAAATACGTAATGGAATAATAAAGTAACCAAGTTGGGAGGGACTTTGGAGGTCTTCTAGTCCAGCCCCCCCTTCTCAAGCCAGAAACCTTATACCAAACATAGTGAATCCAGAAATGAAAAATCACTAATGCAGCCAGTTGAACTTGGATTTCTGGATTTATCTTCCCCAAAAGAGAAAGACGGAGAAACTGACCGGATTTTGTCTCAGCATTAAGCTTCCTTACCTTTGTACACCACACTTTTCGAGATTCCCTAATCCCTACCCAATTACTGTTTTCTCAATCATTAGAGCAAGTACCATCCCTCATATTAAATATAATTAATCGCTGATCTGATAAACAGCCGAGAGCTCTAAATTCACCCCAATTCCCCTCGGGGGACCGGCAATTCCATCCGTCGTTCCATAAACAACAAAACCAAAAGCGTGCGTGGAAGGCACAATATTTTGCTCTCCCGAGTCGCTCCTGCAACTCCCGAGCCGCCCCACCTGTTCCCTTAGCCCCCGGGGTCATTAGCAAGGTTCCTGAAGATCAATTAGCCCTCCAACTTGGCAACCAGGAAGCCCTGCTAATTTGCAAAACACCAAGAGCGAACAGCCGTAAACAAAGCAACAAAGCGGGGGGCGTTAATAGGTCGCTGGGGAGCTCGGCTGTCTAGGGAGGGTCCTCCGCACTCCTCCGGTGAGCCCACCTCCCAGCACTTGGGGAGGGAGGCACCGGTTCCCCCCACTCCTCCTGGCTGGTCCTGGATGCAAATGTAGCCACAGAGGGAACATAGACACACATAGCCTGCCCGGCCTGAGTCCAGGGGTTCCTCTTAAGCCTTCGCTCTGCAACATGGCGGCATCCATGTGCGTGCCCAATCTTTTGAGTTCAAAAGCACATCAGAGTGCAAGGATCTGGATCCTGCAAAAGCTTGGTGTGAGAGTTATTTTTTTCGAAAGAGAGACTCTAGAAAGAGTGCAGAGAAAAACAACAAAGATGATGGAGGCTAAAATATGTGAAGAACGGTGGCTGGAATTCAGTTTAATTCCAGTTTAATGAAAAGAAAGGCTAGGGGTGACATGATAGCAGTCTTCCAGTATTTGAGGGGCTGCCCCAAAGAAAAGAGGGTCATCTATTCTCCAAAGCACCTGAAGGCAGGACAAGAAGCAACTGATGGAAACTAATCCTCAGTTTGGTTTAGGTCTTTAGGAGGATTTGGGTTTGTCCAGTAGAGGACTAGGGATGAGATGATAGCATTATTCCAGTATTTGAGGGGCTGCCACAAGGAAGAGGCGGGCAAATTATTTTCAAAAGCACCAGAAGGCAAGACATGAAACAATGGATCAAAACCAATCAAAGAGAGAAGCAACCTGGAATTGACCAGAAACTTCCTAATAGCGAGGACAATTAACCAGTGGAACTGCTTGCCACCAGAAGCTGTGGCTGCTCCATCACTGGAGGTTTTTAAGAAGAGATTGGACAGCCACTTATCTGAAATGTTATAGGTTCTCCTGCTTGAGCTGGACTAGAAGACCTCCAAGGTCCCTTCCACCTCTATTCTGATTTTAAGCAAAGAGAAAAACAACCTAGAACTAAGGAGGAATTTCCTGATAAGGAGAACAATTAATCAGTGGAACAGCTTGCCATCAGAAATTGCAGGTGTTCCATCACTGGACGTTATGAAGAAGAAATTGGACAACCATTCATCTGGAATGGGATAGGGTCTCCTGCCTTAGCAGTGGGTTGGACTAAGACACCTCCAAGGTCCTTTTGAACTCAGCTATTCTGTTAGTATCTGTGAGAACAGGTAGGACAGGTGTGTCCAACTTTGTCAACATGGCTGGCTGGGGAATTCTGGGAACTGAAGTCCCACACATCTTAACGTTGCACGGTTGAACATCCCTGATAAGGAGCAACATTCACCAGATTCCCCTCCCACTCACCTTCTATTTCAAAATCAGTCCCACAGCTGCACAATTAAGACACACCGACCCTTCCCCCTCCTAAAACTGCAGTGCATTTGTGGGCACCGGAACACCCTTGTTAATAAGATTGGTTTACAACTGCGTAGCCATGAACCATCAGGAGGAGCTTGGTGGCTCTAACTTTATCGAAAGGCGCAAGCATTTGTCAGCTCCAGCTCTTTTGGCTGGAAAAGCTTCACCCGAGAAGCTCAGGGTGAAAGCTTTTCAGTAAGAATTTCTTGGACCGGGAAAAATATGCAATCGGGAAACGCCTCCCGATTTTGCTTGCACACTGAAAGTGACACAACAACTTTCACGCAACGCCAGGAATGAGAAGCACCTGGATAGAATGGAAACCCAGCAACCTGCAAGGCGCTTTTCCTACAATGTTGACATTTTGGGGGACTTGAGGATCTGTGCATCACCTTCTCATTGTGTAAAGAAGGGTCTCAAATCTGTATTATTTTTTAGCTTTCCTTCCTTCCTTCCCTCTTTCCTTCCCTTTTTCCTTTTCCCCCATTCTTTCATCCCTCCCTCTTCTTCCTCCCACCACCCCTCTCTTTCTCCCTCCCTCCCTCCTTCTCTCTCCCCCTCCCTCCTCCTTCCTTATTTCTCTCTCCTTCCTCTTCCTCCTTTCCTTCCTCTTTCTTTTTCTCTCCCCTTCCCTATTTCCCTCTCCTCCTTCTCCCTCCCTCCCTCCCTTTCTCTCCCTCTCCCTACTTTCCTCTCCTTCCTCTCTTCCCTCCCTCTTTCTCCTCCTCTCCCATTTCATTCCTCCCTCCCACTTCTTCTTTCCACCCTCCCTCCCTTCCACTCCTCATTCCCTTCTTCTCCTTCTTTCCTCCCTCTTTTTCCTCTTCCTCCCACCCTCCCTCCCTTCCACTCTTTCTTCCCTTCTTCTCCCCCTCTTTCCTCTTCCTCCTTCCCTCCCTCCTTAGAAGAAGTAGGTGCACTCTGAAAAATGGCTACTTTTGCCCCCATCCTCTTGGAGTGATTCTGTATTTCCAAAGCCAGGACTGGTGAGATTTGACCAGGTTAAAACCCTTGCAATTGTGGCTCAGAGGAACAAACTTCCTACAAACCATGACTGCAAATCTGGGTTAAAATGCTCCTCATTGCTCTTAATTTAAGCCACTTCCCTAAGGCCACATGAACCAGGTGAATAGGAACAGCAGAACTATCAATTTAAATTAGACCCAAAAGATTAATTCTGGACAGTCTTGTTATTAATTCAGAACGTTGGACAATTTTTTCTGCAACAAGTCAAATGTCCAAGCAACCCAACGCTGGGCAGCTAAACCCCTTTTCTGAAATCTAAAAATGGTTGTGGCGTGGCTGCTTTGTATTCTTCGGTTTCTCCATTTTCCCCCTTTGGTTATGTGCAGCAGGGACCTTCTTCAGTCACAGTCATGGTCTTCATTTTAACTTTTTTGACCCCTGTCCAGACATCCTCCTGTTTCTAAGGTCCTCCTTAATCTCACCCATGACCAGCTGTGTCCCTGCCACCATGCCTGAGCACGAACTTACCTGCACATGATCTCGTGAGTTAACAACACGCGACACATCTCTGGGTTCTTATCTTGACCTTCGTAGATGATGGCCTGCAATCAAAGAGGAGACACAACATTAGGAAGGGCCCGGATAGTTGCAGACCTGCTGCAGAAGAGCATGTGGCCATTCTGGAGAGGGCTTCAGTTCTCAGTATCAGTTAAGCCTTCCTTCCTTCCTTCCTTCCTTCCTTCCTTCCTTCCTTCCTTCCTTCCTTCCTTCCTTCCATCCATTCAACATTATAGGTTTTCCTTCCTTCCCTCCCTCCCTCTTTCTCTCCCTCCTTCCCTTCTCTTCCAGTCCTCCCACATTCTTTTCCTTCCTTCCTTCCATCCAAATTTTGTCTTTCCTTCCTTCCTTCCCTCCCTCCCTCCCTTCCTCATTCTCTCCATTTTCCTTCCTTCCTTCCTTCTTCCATTCCTTCCTCATTTTTCCTTCCTTCCTTCCTTCCCCCTTCTCTTCCAGTCCTCCCTCATTCTTTTCCTTCCTTCTATCCAAATTTTGTCTTTCCTTCCTTCCCTCCCTCCCTCCCTCATTCTCTCCCTTTTCCTTCCTTCCTTCCTTCCTTCCCTCTTCCATTCCTCCCTCATTCTTTTCCTTCCTTCCATCCAAATTTTGTCTTTCCGTCCTTCCCTCCCTCCTTCTTTATTCTCTCCTTTTTCCTTCCTTCCTTCCTCCTTCCTTCCTTCCTTCCTTCCTTCCTTCCTTCCTTCCTTCCTTCCTTCCTTCCTTCCCTCCCTCCCTCCCTCCCTCCCTCCCTCCCTCTGTTCCTTGCTGAGCACCCTTGACTTTTCTCAGTTGGGGCATCAGGAGAGTGAGGCATTTCTGTCCTGGACAGCCGCACCTCCACCAGCTTCTGAGAACATGATGGTTACTTCCCAGTAGACATCTAATTGCAATTAGGTGCCTTTTAAGACTGTGAACTTCAGCCCTTGCATGTAGACGTCTACAAGGAGGCAGCCATCGTGTTTCGGAGCTCTTCTCCAAAGCAGCAACCCATCATCTCATCTTGCTTGTCTTCCTGCATGTAGCCAACTTCCAGGAACTGTCTTGCAGCAGAGAGAAACCTGAGGGGAACCTTGTAAGGTGCACCAGTCCCAACTATATATAGCCTCAGTCTAGTACTCGGCTCTAAAATGAAAACTGGATTGCCGTCAATGTCAACTCGTAAATCATTTCTATGCCTGTTTCCGAGTTGCCAGAAAAAGGAGGGGGGGAAGGACTGAGGGAGCAGGGAGGCAGGTGAAGGCCAGAAGCACATTCCACGCTTATCTTGTGGAGATTGTAGCCTAGGCTACGGGATCTTCTGCCTCCAAAAATCCTTCATTGGAGAGTGGGATTGATGACACCCAGCCCATGAAGTGCTTTGTTGGAGAATATGATTCATGACAAACACCCTCGTTGTAGGCAATTTTCGGAACACTCGATTTAATGCAATGCAATTTAAGACCGTTAATGGCGGCTCGGCCCACTGGCTGCAATTTACCCATCGCGTTGAAGAGAACTTCCAAATGTAGTTGTGTTTGCGCAACTGCCAAAGCTTGTTTGACTTTAACTGTGGGGGGGTTTTTTGAAGAGGGGAGAGGTATGTAATATAAACAAGGTGCCTTGTGCATATGCCACACTTGCAGTTGATTGAGACATTGGTGTATTGAGGGGATGCGGCAAACAAGTTAACTCAGGAACAAAATTCAGCATGGCTGGATTACTGAGTTTCCATCTAACCTGGGGCTTGCCTTGAAGACAACTTAGAAAATTCAACACACACTGTAGCCAATGTTCCCCTTGACCAGTCCTGGTTCTGTCACATGAGGTTGTGGTTGCAGGGGGATCTAATGGCTATTGCTGCGCTGGAATTTTCTGCTTAATTCCAGGTTGCTTCTGCCCTTGGTTAGTTTCCATCCATTGCTTCTTGATTTGCCTTCTGGTGCTTTGGAAAATAGTTTGAACCCCTTGTCTTTGTAGGAGCCCCTCAAATCCTAGAAGACTGCTATCACATCACCCCTAGTCCTTCTTTTAATTAAACTAGACACAACTGTTCTTTTTGTATGTTGTATCTTCCAGTCCCCTAACCATCTTTGTTGCTCTTCTCTGCACTCTTTCCGGAGTCTCAACATCTTTTTTGTGTTGTGATGACCGGAACTGGATGCAGTATTCCAGTACTTGACTTACAACCGTTCTGTTTAGCGACTGTTCGAAGTTACAACAGCACTGAAAAAAGTGACTCACTATGATCGCTTTTCACACTTACAACCATTGCAGCATCCCCAGGGTCTATGTGATCAAAAATTCGGACACTTGGCAACTGACTCAAATTTATGACGGTCACAGTGTCCTGGGGTCATGTGATCCTCTTTTGCAACCTTTTGACAAGCAAAGTCAGAGGGGAAGCCAGATTCACTGAGCAACTGTGTTATTAACTTAAGAACTGAAGTGCTTCCCTTTACAACTCTGGCAGGAAAGATTGTAAAATGGGGCAAAATTCGCTTAATGACTGTCTCATTTAGCCACAGAAATTTGGGGCTCCATCGCCATTGTAACCCGAGGACTACCAGTTAATTCAAATAATGCCAGGGTTGGAGAACAGTTGGATTTCCTGACTGCAGAGCCATCTTTATTTTTATTTTTTTAACGGAGCATTATTCTCTCCCTTCGTTTCATTTTAACATCAAGCATAAAGTCAGACCTCTGGGAGAAAATCTAGGGTTCAAAAAACAAAAACAACAACAACCAGGAGTTGGATACTCCTTGGTGCAAAGTAGGTGTTAAACACCCGCTGCCCCATCTGGGCTGGGTGCTCTTAACACCCAGCCAGGAATCTGCCTCTCCACTTAATGGTGTTGATTAATAAGATGGAAAGTTAATGAAGCATCTTCAATTATTTGCAAGAATTAATTCCCTGGGACTCCTTTTCCAGAGCGAGCTCGTTCAGAGTGTGCAGATTCTGAGAGTGATTTGTTTTTGCCTCAAACGGAGACTGGATTGCATTTTTCCTCCACTATCCCATAGGTCCATTTTTTCCCAAGAGGCAACTGGACTGTCTGGTTTTTCTTTGAAGATGTTTCGCTCCTCGTCCAAGAAGCTTCTTCAGTTCAGAGCTCAGAACTGAAGAAGCTTTTTGGATGAGAAGTGAAACATCTTCAAAAGGAAAAAAAAACCAGAAAGTCCAGTTGCCTCTTGAGAAAAAAAAAAAAAAAAAGCATCTTTGGGACAACCAGAATCTTCATAGCCATTTTCTTCCACTACAAAATTTTAGGATAAGGCCTAATTTTGGCGGGGAAATGATCAAAAGTTCTGTCTTTTCGTAACATGGGTTAATGGGAACATTTAATTTTATTTGATCCTGGGTAGATCAAAGATCATATGTTGCGATGATTTGTGGTAAATAGGAAACCGTTGTATTTCTACGAGTAAAATACAATACTGGTAGTCCTCAACTTACGACCACAATTGAGCGCAAGATGTATACTGCTAAGGGAGAAATTTGTTAAGTGAGTTTTGCCCCATTTTACGACTTTTCTGGCCACCTTTGTTAAGTGAATCACTGCGGTTGTTAAATTAGTAAAATGGTTGTTCAGTGAAACCGGCTTCCCCATTGACTCGACTTGTCAGAAGGAAAGGTCATAAAATGGAAGCAAAACTCACTTAACAACTGCCTTGCTTAGCAACGGAGATGTTGGACTCAGCTGTGCCCATAAGTCGAGGACTGTCTGTACAGTTGAGATGGTGGGAAGGCCATGTCTCCTTGTGAAAAGAAGCTGTTCGTGGCGGCTTCCTCCAAGTGACAATTCCCAGTGTCCTTTCGAGGAGCTTGTGATGGGCGTTGTGGTGTGTGTTTGTGTTGTGGCCTGCCGGCGGCTGATGGAGCTGGCAGCAGAGTTGGACGGTAGCGAGGAAGTTGGGGAGGAACCTGGGACAGTCTTGGAGGCTAAGGAAGGCTTGGATGAGGGCTCTGCATCGGAGGCAGAGATGGGGCCAGGGCAGGCTGGCAGTCACCAGCTGCCTTCGGGCTCAGACAGCAATGAGGCGGGGGAGCTTCTGGAGGCGGTTCCCAGCCTGCGCATACACAAAGTTAGCAGAAGACAAGAACAATTGAGAAAGCAGGGTCGACTCCAGAGTAAGGCCACACCTCAGGGATGACTGGCCCCTTCCACAGGACATAAAAGAGGAGCGAAGGGGACGTGAGCCTTTGCAGGAAGCAATTAGTTCGTCCGGTCAGTTCAAGTTTTGAAAAGTTCTACTTGACTCTGTGTCAAGTTTGGCCTTGCCCTACGTCTGCAATTCGTTCTCTGGCAGCATTCCAAGTTTGATAAGGTGGGTGTTTATCAACATTCCCCTGAAAGACTGTTTGCCAAGCCTTGCAGGCTGTGAATGAACATAATTCACAGCCGTTGAAATAAAAGAGGTTTTGCCAGAACTAAGATTGTGTTTTATGCTTTCTAAGGAAGCCTAGGTCAGAACAGTTTGTTCTGAATCCCAGACCTATCAACTCTGAACCTTTTAAGCCCAGCCAAAGACATGTTACAGATGCTTCCCCATAGCACCCCAAGCACAGGGTGTTGTTACCTGCTTGGACATGGAGTCAATGAGTCGTACGTAGAGATCTTGCTCAGTTCGAAGCCCTGGGAAAAAGCAAAGTTAGTTTAGAATAGCGTATCTCGACTTGGCGACTTGAAGATGGATGGACTTCAACTCCCAGAATTCCCACGCCAGCTGGCTGGGGAATTCTGAGAGTTGAAGTCCACCTCTCTTCAAGTTGTCAAGGCTGAGAATCACGGCACAGCAGCTCAAGACAACCATCCCTTTTTTTTAAATGCTCACAACAACCCTGCAAGTTAAGTCTCCACGGTGTTTAACCCTCTGACTCCCCAGCCTGGGTCTACACCAATGGGTTTCAAACTGGGCCATTTGAAGACATGTCAACTTCAGCTCCCAGAATTCCCTAACCAGAATTCCAGGCTGGGGAATTCTAAGAGTTGAAGTTCTCTTTTTGTAAAGTGGCCACATTTGGGGAAAACGTTCTAAAAGTTTAAAAACTGGACTGAATGTCTATCATAACTTGGCATTCAATGGTGCAAAATGTTTTTTTTTTTTAAGAAGATGAGTGAGCTGTGAAAAGCAACCAAGATAATGCAAGCAGGGATGCAGAACTGTTTTTGCCTGCTTTGAAAACAGAATAAGTGAGTAACAGAATTGGAAGGGACCTTGGAGGTCTTCTAGCCCAACCCCCTGCTCAAGCAGGAGACCCTGGCCTAGACCATTCTAGATAAATGGCTGTCCAATTTCTTCTTTAAAACCCCCAGTTTTGGAGCACACAAAGCTTCTGGTGGCAAGCTGTTCCACCAGTTAATTGTTTCTCACTGTCAGGAAATTTCTCCTTAGTTCTAGATTGCTTTTCTCCATCCATTGTTTCTTATCCTGCCTTCCGGTGCTTTGGAGAATGGCTTGACTCCCTCTTCTTTGTGGTAGCCCCTCAAATACTGGAACACTGCTACCATGTCATCTCTAGTCCTCTTCTTTATTAAACTGGCCATACTCCTGCAATTGTTCTTCATACGTTTTACCCTCCAGTCTCCTAATCCTCTTCGTTGCACTCTTTCTCAAGGCCTAGATAGGTTTCTTACAAATGCTTTAGACCAGGGGTCTCCAACCTTGGCAACTTAAAGACTTGTGGACTTCAACTCCCAGAATTCCTCAGCCAGCTCTGCCTTGACAGTCAAACTGAAGCCAACATCTCAGCCTGTCCTTAGCTGGCTGAGGAATTCTGGGAGTTGAAGTCCACAAGTCTTAAAGTTGCCAAGGTTGGAGACCCTTGCTTTAGACAAGCTTTACTTCGAATTTTGCAAGAAGTCCAGAGTTTGCTTAAAAGAGGAGACCCAAGTGATGATCTCCAGCCCTGTGGGATGAGTTGAGGGGGGGGGGGGTTGTCCTTTCTTCAACTGCTTGCAAATATACCTTGCAAACTTCTGAAGCCACCATGAACTCTATCCTAACTATTTGACTGCAGGTGGAAGGTCAAGACAAAAGTTGGATGAGCAAATGTATCTCAGAAGCTTCCATCTTCTGAGTAGTCTTCACCACAGCACTGAACTCAAGTTGTAGGGTCCTTACCGTTACTGTACAGCAACTGCAGCCGGTAGTGAATGCCGTTGTTGGTTTTCTCTCCATTCTGCTCCTGTCAGGAGGAAAGGAGGAATGAAAAAAAGCCACACAATGGATATTTTCCTCCTGGTGCTGCTCAGGGACATGTTCAACCAGGAACAGCAGGCAAGTGGGGGGTGTTTTTTCTTGGGAGGTACAAGAAGCTGGAAGGGGAGTGGATAAACTGGGATTGTCTCCTGCTTTCTGAGTCTTGGGGAAATCCCTGGTCTTCCTTTTGCCAAGATGGGGAGTTTGGGAAAAGAAGAGGGCGGGGATGTCTTCTTCTGAAGGTGCCTCTTGCAGAAATTAGCCTGGGGTGCAACCATCCTCTTCTTCTTCTTTTCTACCTCCTTCTCTTACCTTGACATCCTGTCCAGGCTGACTCATTCCTGAGCCTCCCCCCCACCCACCAGTCTCTCACTCACTTTGTCTTTTTCTTTGTCTCTTTCTTTCTCTTTCCCTCTCTCTTCTCTTTCTTTCTTTTTCTTCTTTCTCTTTCTCTCTCTCCTTTCTTTTTTTCTCTCTCTCTATTTTCTTCTTTCTTTCTTTCTTTCTCTTTCTCTCCTTTTCTCTTTTCCTTTCTTTTTCCTTCTTTCCTTTCTCTCTCTCCTTCCTTCCTTCCTCTCTCTCTCTCTCTCTCTCTCTTTCTTTCTTTCTTTCTTTCTTTCTCTCTCTCTCTCTCTTTCTTTCTTTTTTTCTTTCTTTCTTTCTTTCTTTCTCTCTCTCTCTTTCCTCCTTCCTTTTTCTTATCTACCTCTGTCTCTCTCTCTCTCTCTCTGTGTGTGTGTGTGTGTGTGTGTGTGTGTGTGTGCATGTCTATAATATATGTGTGTGTGTGAAAATCTAGATGGCACTCCTCAAATATGCCCTCAGTGCCCTACAAATATTGTCTTTATCAGATGAGGATTTTTACCCAGAGACCATCTAACTGTATGGAAAACTAGATTTCTAGCATGGAGTGGAAGTGTCATAGTTGATAGTTTTAAATAGCCATTTATACTGCACTAAGCAGCTAGTTTGACAGAGTGAGCAGAGAAGGAGAAAAGGGCCGTTTTAATCAAAGGGATTTTACTGAGCTTTGTTTCTACTTGAAAACAGATTCTGGACTTTTTGTAAGAAACTGAAAAAAAATGGAACTTGGATATTGATGATTACAATGGTTTTGTTATTATAGGAATAGCTTAAAAATTTGTGAAGTGTAAAGCAAAATGTTACGGTTGTGGGGTTTTTTGCATTTTACTGGGCTGAAAAAGTCAGGAATCATGTTTTTTCTTTCTCTCACTTTCTCTGGATTTTCTAATGTTTGGGTTTATTTGTATTTATATCTTGGAATGACACTTAATAAAATGTATTTAAAATATTAAACTGGTAGCTTTGGGTGAAGGCTTAATGAAGAAGAATTTTCACTTTCTCTTTTTTAAAAAATAGATATAGTTTATAATGTTATAAGTCATAATGATATCTTGCAGCAAAATTCCCTTTATGCTATTTGAGATTCTCGGGTATTCCTGCTTGCCACTTATTCCTGGTTATTTTTTTCTTTTATATGCTGGGTCTCCTGTGGCTTATCTTTTCCTTCCTCCCCCCCCACCAAAATGTTCAATAATAAAATAAATACATGAATGAAAAAAGCGCTCAGGGAGCCATCAAGGATATTTTCAATTTTACTCCAACAACCGTCTAGCTCTGCTGCATTCTGATGACTGCTGGGGAAAAAATATCGAAATAACTGCAACTGGAAAGGTTGGAGGATATTCTATCCTGACTATTTCCTGTGCGTGTGTGTGTTGTGTGTGTGTTTGGGGAGACATTTGCAAAAACCAAGCATGAGTTTGGACCTTACTCTGTCCTTCTCCACAAAGTCGATGAAAGACGTCCTCTCGATCTCCACTGGCTGTCCATGGCGGTCGTACATGGCAAGCACGAAGTGGAAAAAGTTGGATTTCCTGAGGTTAGATGGTGGCTGTTTTTCAAAGTGGGCCCGAGCCAGCCCAATACCACTGTGGGAGGGAGAAAAGGGAGAAAAAAAGGTGTTTAAGCAGCTGCATAAGCACACCAATGTGCCTACCGTCCCTGTCCTACTGTTTCTTTTATATATATATTTATTTTTCTTATATGTATCGATGTATTCATAACTATGTTTTTACTTATACCCATTATCTTGTAAGCAATTGACAAATAAAAATAAATAAAAAAATCTGCAGGGGCTGAGCTCATCCTCCCTTTCTATGCCAAAAAAAATAATAATAATAGAATAACAGAGTAACAGAATAGCAGAACAACAGAGAAACAGAATAATGGAATACAGTAACAGAGTAGCAAATAACAGAGTACAGAACAACAGAACAGCAGGTAATAGAATAACAGAACAATAGAGTTACAAATAACAGAGCAGCAGAAAACAGAATAGTGGAATAACAGAATACCAGAGTAACAGAGTAACAGAACTGCAGAATAACAGAGCAACAAATAACAGAATAGCACAATAATAGTATAGCAGAATAACAGAATAACGGAATAACTGAATAACAGAATAGCAGAATAACCAACTAACAGAATAACAAATAACAGAATAGCAGAAAAATACAGAATAGCAGAATAACAATTCAAAAGGTTGGAAGGGACCTGGAGGTCTTCCAGTCTATTTTCTTCCGCAGGTAATCTTTGACATACAACCACAATGGAGTCTGCCCATGTTACCTAGTTAGATCATGAAATGTCTACAAGAAAAGAACCAGGCTCAGAGAGCAAACAAGGACCCCGCAGCTCCAGAGAAGTTTCCAATCTTGGAACGTTGAGAATTTCAATCCAGAGAAACACCTAAAGAACATCGGGGTAGGCAGATTTCATTCCTCTGAATGGCATCCTTTTGGGTGCACAACATTATGTGCCTTCCATTATAGCAGAGGGCAAAATTCACACCACATTTAACAACTTTGCCATGGGGAGCTTGAGGAGGACAAATTCTCTGTACCCTCCCTCCAAATGCAACTTCATCTACAGGTAGTCCTCGCCTTACGACTACAATTGAACCCGACATTGGTGTTGCTAAGCGACACACTTGGCCAATGTGTTTTGCCCCATTTTAGGACCTTTCCTGCCATCGTTGTTAAATGAATCCCTGCAGCTGTTAAGTTAGTGACATGATTGTTGAGTGAATATGGCTTCCTTTGCTTGTCAGAAAGTCACAAAAGGGGTCACATGATCCCAGGACAGTGCAACCATGATCACATGACCACGGGGATGCTGCAACAGTTGTAAGTATGAAAAATGGTCATAAGTCTTTTTTTCCAGTGCTGTTGTAACTTTGAATGGTCATTAAATTGTCACTAAATGAACAGTTATATTTTTAGGCCTGGCTCTGTATTTGTCAAGCCTGGAACTGCAGATTTTCTGCAAAGAAAGCACATGTTGGTGATATAATAATCTCTGCCAGTTGGGAAACGACCACTGTGAGCATTTCAATCCAGACAACAAATGCTTTAAACTCCTGGGAACTATAATCAACACTTTAGACACCTGGACTTGTACAGAAATGAAAAAAGCAGGAATTTCAGCCGCTTTGCAACTTGGCAAAGGTAATATTAGATATAAAGGAAATTTACTGCATTGGTTTCATTTATTTGGGGAATTAAAGTACAATGCCAATCTGCAAAACCCATCTGTGAGAGGGCTGGAGGGGGGGACGGGAATCATAAATGAAGGAGAAATTTTAGGAGATTAAAGGAAACCTGAGACAGACCCAGCTGTAGGAAACAGCTGTCTGGAAACCCAAAACCCAACTGGGGTCTGGTACAGGTAGTCCTCGACTTACAACCACAATTGAGCCCAAAATTTATGTTGGGTAAGCAAGATAGTTGTTAAATGAATTTTTCCCTATTTGATAACCTTTCTTGCCACTGTTATTAAGCGAATCACTGCAGCTATTAAGTTAGTAACCTGGTTGTTAAGTGAATCCGGCTTTCCGATTGCCTTTGCTTGTCAGAAGGTCGTATAAGAGGAGCATGTGACACTGCAACCGTCATAAATATGAGTCAGCTGGCAAGCGTCCAAATTCTGAACATGTGACCCACGGGAATGCTGCAACGGTCATAAGTGTGTAAAACGGGCCCTAAGTCACTTTTTTTCAGGGATGCTGTAACTTTGAAGGCTCACAAAATGAACTCTTGTAAGGGCTACCTGTCGTTATCTTAGAAAGACTACATATAAATTTTCTAAACAATTAAATAAATAAAATGTTAACCAGCCCAACTTGTAGAGAGGTTGATGCCTATAAAAGTCTTCAAACCTGAACACTGCAACACAAGAAACAGACCCCAAAACAGATGAAGAAAAATGAAAAAGATAAAATTCCTCTGGGATTTTAGAATTCAGACAGACAAGCTCCTGCCACAAAACACTCCAGACTTAACAATTGTTGATTAGAAAGACACACACACACACACACACACACACACACACAAGTCTGGATAACGGACGTGACAGTAGCAGGAGACAGCAGAAGAGAAGAGAAAGAACTGGAGAAGGTAACAAAATTTGGAGACTGTGGCAAAAGCAAGCAAAGGTGGTACCAGTAATAATAGGTGCCTTGGATGCAATCCCAAAAACAACTGGAGCACTCCTTGAACACCATCGGCATTGACAAATTCACCACCTGTCAATTGCAAAAGGCAGTTTGGCTTGGAACAGCTGACATCCGATGACATACCTTTTGTTAACTCAAACAAGCACATCTACCTATCCCAGGTCCTTGGGAAGGACTCCATTGGTGGGTAAAAATGCCAAACCCAGTCCAAACATCTGGCTGACTGTGTGACCAACCATGATAAAATATTATTCAGATTATTCAAGGAGGGAGAGGGGGGAGGGAGGAAGGAAGGAGAGAAGGAGAAGAGGAGATAGATGGGAGGGAGGGATGAATGAATGAATGGAAGGAAGGAAGGAGATAGGGGGAGGGATGGAGGGAAGGAAGGAAGTAGAAGGAAGGATGAGAGGAGGTAGATGGGAGGGATGGAGGGTAGGAGAAAAAGAGGGATGGATGGATAGATAAATGGAAGGAAGGAAGGAAGGAAGGAAGGACAAGAGGAGATAGTTGGGAGGGATGGAGGATAGGAGAAAAAGAGGGATGGATGGAAAGAAGGAAATAGATGGGGGATGGAGGGAAAGAGATAAAGAGGGAAGGAAGGAAAGAGAAGGGAGGAAGGGAAGGAAATGGGAGGGATGATGGGTAGGAGAAAAAGAGGGATGGATGGATGGAAAGAAGGAAGGAAGGAGATAGGGGGAGGGATGGAGAGTAGGAGAAAAAGAGGGATGGAGGGAAGGAAGAAAAAGATGGGGGATGGAGGGAAGGAGATAAAGAGGGAAGGAAGGGAAGAGAAGGAAGGAAGGGAAGGAGATGGGAGGGTTGATGGATAGGAGAAAAAGAGGAATGGATGGATGGATGGAAAGAAGGAAGAAAGGACAAGAGGAGATAGATGGGAGGGATGGAGGATAGAAGAAAAAGAGGGATAGATGGATGGAAGGAAGGAAAGAGGGAAGGATAGAAGGAAGGAAGGAACTAGATGGGAGGGATGGAGGGAAGGAGAAAAAGAGAGGAATGAAAGGAAGGAAGTCTTCTTCTTTTTTTGGTCCAAAGCAAGCGACAGAAGTAGTGGCAATAAGAAAATGTATTCAAATTAAGTCAATCAGTTAAAAGGGAGATGATTAATCAACCAGGAATTCTTCCACTGGCCCTCATTTTTATGCATTAAGGTGTTTTGCACTGGCGCATGAGCCTTGATACGAACTGAAAACTCCCTTTTCATCTCCCCCCCCCCTTTTTTTTGAAACCACACAAACTTCCAGATATGTATTTCAGAATGACAGAATAATAGTAATATTCTGTCGTTATTATTATCCGTACATTATCAGTAATAACAGAATAGCAATATCAGAGTTGGAAGGGACCTTAGAGGTCTTCTAGTCCAACCTCCCCTGTTCAAGCAGGAGACACTAGACAATTTCAAACAAATGGTTGCTGTTAAGATAATTTAAATGTATCGGTGGAGTTGTACAATCTGCCAGAACACACAATTGTCGCTGATTGATGGGAGAGAGCTGAGGCAACCTGCGCTGTGATAGGTCGCTGTGAGCAAAAGGGGGCGTTTCCTTCTTTCCCGCCTTTTTCTTCTGCGCATTCAGTGATTTACCTCATGAGGATGTTCCTGGGTGGATTTTACCTCATGATGCTCCTATCTTGACTGATATAAATATAGATGTTAAATATATTTATTTATATACAACTACAAGTTCGGATCAGCGTCCATGCAGCTGCTGCACAATTCCCTGACAGTTGTTCAGTCTCTTCTTTAAAAAAAACTCCAGGGACGGAGCAGTCACAACTTCTGGTGGCAAGCTGTTCCACTGGCTAATTGTTTTTTCACTGTCAGAAACTCCTCTAGGTTGCTTCTCTCCTTGGTTAGTTCCCATCCATTGCTTCTTGTCCTGCCTTTGGGTATTTGGGAGAACACCTCTCTTCTTTGGGGAAGCCCCTCAAATATTGGAAGACTGCTATCATATCACCCCAATAGTCCTTCTTTTCTGAACATTTACAAAATACAGAATGACAGAGTTGGAAGAGACCTTGGAGGTCATCTAGTCCAACCCTCAGGTCAAGCAGAAGACCCTATTCCATTCCAGATTGTCCATTTCCTTTTAAAAGCCTCCAGTGATGGATCACCCACAACTTCTGGTGGCAAGGAGTTCCACTGTTTAACTGTTCTAACTGTGAGGAAATTTCTCCTTAGTTCCAGGTTGCTTCTCTCCTTGTTTAGTTTCCATCCATTGCTTCTTGTCCTGCCTTCAGGTGCTTTGGAGAATAATTTGACTCCCTCTTCTTTGGGGCAGCCCCTCAAATTTTGGAAGATGCTACCATGTCCCCCCGATAATCTTTATTTTCATTAAACCAGAATTAAACCCAATTCCTGCAACCATTCTTCGTATGTTTTAGCCTCCACGCTCC